GGGGGGGGGGGGGGCGATCGCCCCCCCTGTCGTCTCTAGAGAGTCGCCTGAAAGGTAGGCAATTTGCGCCACAAAACCCCTGTATGTAGGCAACCGACAGTGCATCGCCCCCCCTGTCAGCCGGACCTTAATCCGCCACTGGCTACTACCTTTGTTCCGCAGGTCGGCGTCCCCCGACAGGGCAGCTGCAGAAGCTCCGGCGGAGGTGCCCGACGAGGAAACCGCGGTGTCCGAGGTCGCCGCTGCTGAAGCTGCACCTGCCGACCAAGGTAGCGGCTCCGCCATCGCAGTTGACGACGACGTCGACAACGACGACGACGATGCCGACGACGACCACGTTGACGGCCGCGTTGCTTCCTCGGAAGGCGAACCGCCCGAGGACGCGTCTACAGACAGCAGGACGGCCGAAGAAATCCAGGAGGAGGAGGAAGAGATGGCGGCCATCGCCCAGGAGCTGCTCGACGGCCTGGAGGAGCGTCAGTTTGACGATCAGGATCACGACGAGGACAACGTTTGCGAGGGCGGCGATTTCAACAACAACAATCAACAGCAGCATCAGCAACCACAGCTGGCGAAAGGTGAGTCCAGTTTCACATCACCTTCCTCGATCCAGCTACCATCCAGCTGGACGCGAGAACGGTTCCATCCCAGAGACTCGAAGGACCCTTTTGTCCTCTGGTTGCACAAACGAGCCAACATCCTCGCTCGTCATTCTTCGGCGTTTCTGCAGTTCCTCGCGCCGCCGGGATTGAACTGGTTTATCCCTTCTTTATTCCCCCGTTTCTGGCCGCCCCCCTCCTGTACCCACTGTCTGATTCATTGGTTCGTCGGACGGAGGCAGCTCCTTTGGAGGTGTCTTCCGGAGACGTCCCTCCTCAGAGACGCGACCCAAAGACGGCCTCTGGGGACGTCTTCCGAAGATATCCTACGGAGACTGGGGATATCCTCCAAAGAAGTCCCTGCGGCCATATTATTTGGAGACGTCTTCCGGAGACGTCCTCCGGGGGATATCCTCTCGGGAAGTCTTCCGGAGTGGCCGAGTACTCCCCCTTGCGACGACTTCCGGCTGGACGCGTCCTCCGGAGACGTAGTCGGGAGCAGACGTCCTCTTGAGACGTCCTCCGGGGTCATCCTTCGGAGTCGTCCTCCTGAGACGTCTTCCTAAAACGTCCTCCAGAGACGCTCTGGCCGGAGACGCCCTCCGCCTCCGCGGGCCTCCGCGGCCCCTGCCCAATCCGATGAGGCGTTTCGCCGCGTCGCTCGGCTGCGCCGCCGCCGCTCTTCTCTTGTCTTTGTGTGGGAGAGAGACGCCAATTGCAAGGCGCGGACAATTCCCCTCCTGCTATTGACGTCGCGACCGCCCCCTCCCCCGCCCCCCTCAGGGGCAGTTGCAGCGGCTGCTGCTCGCCTGCCTCCGCGACGTGTCCCTGGCCGTCCGCGGTCGTCGTCGCCACCGCCGCTGCCGCTCAGGGAAACATAGCGATTGATTTCTCATCCGTCCCTGGGCCCTGGCCCGCGGGCCCCGCAACACGCGCGCGCGACTCCACCACCGCCACTCCGCGCTTCTTGTACTTTGTTACGTTTTCCGGCGCCATTCCGCATTCCTGGCGCGTCGCATCGCGGGGCCCCGCGGGAAAGAAACGGCCTTCAACAAAGGGAGAAAGGCTGGCGGGGGCGGCGATGAGCAGAATGGGAAAAAAGTTGTATTTATTTTAAAAGAAAAACAACATGTAAAACATAATGGCTGAAAAGTTGAATAATGTTCTAGAGCGCGCATCACCATCATCGTCCGCGAGCGCGAGGCACGTTCGAGGAGCCGCGCCGCCCGCGTCGCTGTCGGCGGCGGCGGCTTGTCAGGCTTTTCTAGGAAAATAAATACGGCCGACTTGACTTTTCCGCTCGGGGGGTTAACCACCGGGCAGGAGCGCGCTGACGGCATGGTAGGGTGCTCTCCTCCGGTCGAGGCCGCGGCGGCCCTTGGCGGCGGCCTGCAGGGGCAGCAGCTCGAGCCCGCGGAGCCCGGCCCCCCTGGAGCTGCGCGCCTCGCAGAGGTCAAGGTATCCGCGAGGGTAAACGCACCGCGTCCGCGCCGAGCCGCTCTCACAGCCGCCGCTTTAGTGTTTGAACGGACGAGCGCCGTCCTGTCCTCGGCCGCCGGGAGTGCCGCGCGCGGATCCTTGGGGAGCTTCTGCCGAGGCTTCTGCTATGCCGCCGCCGCGCGGCCGCGGACCGCGGCTCCGGGAAGCACTCGACGCCCCCCTCACTCCCCCGTCTCCAATCCCTGCCCGCCTGGCTACGCCACTGTTCTCTGAGATTCCACAACGCCCTTCAAGCAAGACAAGGCGAGTCGTGGCCATTTACCAATTTGTCCTCCACCAATTACAGTCCGAAATGGCAGTCCTGGGCTGGGCTGGGCGCAGTCGTGGCGCGGCGAGGCGCGGTGAGCCCCGTCTGGTCATCGCGCCGCCCGTCCTTTAGCAGCCCGCAGCCGTAAATGACTCAGAAAACATAAAAAGTGAACGTCACTCTCGGCGCTAGCGTGAAAATACACAGAATAAAGAGGGGGGAGGGGTGGTGGGGAGCAGGACACGACGGGCGCTGCCCTCGCCACCGGCAAAGAAAGATGAAACATATTTCTCTCGCTGAACGGATCACGTTATCATCGGAAATCATTCCGCCAAACCTGGGGGGATAATTTTTGTTGTTTGCGACGAAATCCCTGGCGCGCATGAGAAATGCAACGGAGGGGCCATTCCGTGCGGCATAAATGGACAAAGTTTGAGACAGGGTACCTCATACCTCTGACAGGATGAATGACTAGTGAGGATGAGCTGAACAGGGCTCAGCAGCGGAGAAGATTCGCGGTGCGGGAAGCGAGAGAGAGGTTAGGGGGCGGCCCTAGGCTGGGCAGGGCGGTGCGAGGGGAAAGAGGAGGGGAGGGGGGAGGGGGCGCTCAATCTCAGTTGCATTCATCACGCGGGCCAGACAGAGACCTCTCTAACGTGTCGAGGTCGATGGGTCATCACCTTGTACACACACGCACACACGCACGCAGGCACACCGGGCTGACCATAGATAGCGGGGCTATGCTCGCCGGTTCCGACTGCCTCCGCATGGCGCGGATGACGGGCGGGCGGCGCGACGCCTGGGTCCATTGATTTCAGAGTAAATGCAAAAAAGGATATCGCAGTCGAGTCGGGAACTGTCGCATGCGGCGATTAGCATCTCCTTTCTATACCGCCAGGTCGAGATGGAAACCGCAAATGAAGTAGTTTCTCGCACACCAGTCGATCGTATCGTATCTGCTCCTTAAACATTCGTTTCGGAATTCCTTTGGAATATTGACTATATGAGCCGAGGAGAATGTTTCACAATCCCCGCAAAAATGTAGACCACGAACATCTTGAGAGCGAGAATGCAAAAGCCGGTAATAGATTATCTAGTATCGCGTCTTTGCGATTTCCTCTCCTCTGAGTTATGGACAGAGGGTATGACCGTTTGGTGTGACAGCAAGTTTCTCATACCGCCCGCTGCTCATCGGCTGCTCATCGGCTGCTCAGCCCGGTGGCTGCCCCGGGGCGCTGCGGGCGCTGGTTGTGCGCTGGCTGTGGCTGGTTGTGGCGGCCGCGGTGGAAGCAGCCGCACTATGAATCAGCACGGCAGCCCCGCGCGGCACATGTTTACCGAAGGATTGATTGACTTAACCTACAAATCGGGGGGCCGAGGGCCGCGGGCGGGCAGCCCCGTGACCCGACCGCCAAGAGCGGAACGATCAGAAATCTTTGGAGTATGTTTGGTAAAAAAAAAGTCAATGATGCATGCAAAAATGAGGAATAATGTCATGGAATTGGAAGTCATAAAATCTGTCAAAATTAAGTAATTATGCGACATTTTGTCCCCGCTCGCCCTTTGCAGGGCATGTATGCTTGTTTTCTCACAACAAATGGCTGGTGAAGCCCGTCCACTCTCGTGGTGATACTGTGCCGCAACGTGTACGTGTCATTGTGTTGCCTACCTGAAAGGCGCCTTGGTGAACCTGACGGACGGACGGACCTGGATGCAGCGCAGTTGTTGTTATCGACTACGAATTGGGTTAGATTCTTAAGCCACCTGATTTACAATCGGTTCATCCCCCCCCCCCGCCTCCGTTTTCCCATTTTACTGTTTTCGAGTGCATTCCACTCTTAGACATTCGGTCTTGTGTCCTCCAAAAGGGCGTACGTTTCAACGGCGGTAATGGTTCAGGGGTTTCCAAAGGCTGACCCCCCGAGGTTGAAATACTTTTGGTCTCTCCGGTGGCGTCGTTGTTTGGCCCGCACATTACTTCACCCTGTGGTCCGTCGGGGCGCCGAGTGTGTCCCCTGCTGCCCCTCCCATACACGCACATGCTCGCGCGCGCGCACACACACACATTCACACAAATACACAAACACATACTCGGGTTTATTTTTCTCCCTCCGCAGAAAGATAAAGCCTTTGCACGCCGTTTGCACCCTTTTCCGCCTGGAATGTGTCCGCCCGTGGGTGGCCCCCTCCCCCCCCC